TATAAAGTGACATGTGTTTCCTCTGTGTGATAGTCCAGTAAGCAGACAGTAGGAAGAGTTGATAGAGTTGGTTTGATAGACTTTGGACATGTGTCTTTGGTCAGTTAACTTGTTGCTCAATTGGTATTAATTTCATGGCCTGATCCTTTCTGCTTGGTTAGCTTAACAGATCAATTAAAGCAAGCTTTTATCTAGGTTCTTATTTGATGATGAAAAGGATGATTAAATCCTTACATGTGCTATTTACAATGGGCATCAGAGTACACAAAACATGAAAATATCTGTATACTATAGAAATTTTAGGAATATTGAAATAAAGAAACTTTACACTCACAATTCATTAAGCTAACAAATGTTTGACAGGAACTTTTCATAATATGCCAAGAAGTGGAAGGAGAGCCAGGACAAATGAAAATATTTTCAAAAACCGAACTGCATAATAAAAAGAACACTTATGTTTAGATTCAAAATAATCATCTAAAGACAACAAAAAAATGTCAATATTTAGGGTGGTTATATACAATTTCATTAAAAAAGAAGCTAATATAGCTTTTATGTTCAAAAGCTGAGATCAGAATATATACCGCTGGTCAGTTTCATCTACTCTTACACAGCAACTGTCAGCTTCACCTTCTCCAAGGCTACTGCCACTGGTCAGTGAGTACTGCTACAGGTCAGGGAGTAACCATTATCTTGGTCAGTTGTTACTACCTGGACCATTTATTTATATTACTCCAGTGAAAATAATCAAGCTGCTGATAGAAAATTTCCAGACTGTCTGACCAAATCATAAACTGTCAGATAAAGATTATCCAGTATTTGTTGGATCAGCGCAAACACAGGTAAACACACATGCATTCTATAACTACGCTTTGGAAATCTATGGAAGCTGTTTTACATAGGCCTATACAGTTAATTGTACCTGTATGATAGCCAGGATAGATAGGACTATACAGTTAACCTACATATTGTACCTGTATGATAGCCAGGATAGATTGTACCTGTATGATAGCCAGGATAGATAGGACTATACAGTTAACCTGCATATTGTACCTGTATGATATCCAGGATAGATAGGACTATACAGTTAACCTGCATATTGTACTTGTATGATAGCCAGGATAGATAGGACTATACCGTTAACCTCCATATTGTACCTGTATGATAGCCAGGATAGATTGTCCCTGTATGATAGCCAGGATAGATAGGACTATACTGTTAACCTGCATATTGTACCTGTATGATAGCAAGGATAGATAGGACTATACAGTTAACCTGCATATTCTACCTGTATGATAGCCAGGATAGATAGGACTGTACAGTTACCCTGCATATTGTACCTGTATGATAGCCAGGATAGATTGTACCTGTATTATAGCCAGGATAGATAGGACTATACAGTTAAACTGCATATTGTACCTGTATGATAGCCAGGATAGATTGTCCCTGTATGATAGCCAGGATAGATAGGACTATACTGTTAACCTGCATATTGTACCTGTATGGTAGCGATGATAGATAGGACTATACAGTTAACCTACATATTGTACCTGTATGATAGCCAGGATAGATTGTCCCTGTATGATAGCCAGGATAGATAGGACTATACTGTTAACCTGCATATTGTACCTGTATGATAGCCAGGATAGATTGTCCCTGTATGATAGCCAGGATAGATAGGACTATTCAGTTAACCTGCATATTGTACCTGTATGATAGCAAGGATAGATAGGACTATACAGTTAACCTGCATATTGTACTTGTATGATAGCCAGGATAGATAGGACTATACCGTTAACCTCCATATTGTACCTGTATGATAGCCAGGATAGATTGTCCCTGTATGATAGCCAGGATAGATAGGACTATACTGTTAACCTGCATATTGTACCTGTATGGTAGCCAGGATAGATAGGACTATACAGTTAACCTACATATTGTACCTGTATGATAGCCAGGATAGATTGTCCCTGTATGATAGCCAGGATAGATAGGACTATTCAGTTAACCTGCATATTGTACCTGTATGATAGCCAGGATAGATAGGACTATACAATTGTACCTCTATGGTTGTGATACTAAATAAAGTTGTAACTGCACTTTATCTATAGTAGCCATGCTTGAAAGAATTCTATACCTTTTACATTGTACCTCTATGGTAGCCATGCTTGCAAGATTCTTTACCTTCACATTGAACCTCTATGGGATTTTTTTTGCCTTGCTAGAAAGGACTATACAATTGTACCTGCATATTATACCTCTATGGTAGCCATGCTTGAAAGAATTCTTTACCTGCACCATGTACCTCTATGGTAACTGTGCTTGAACGATTCGTTACCTGCACATTGTACCTCTATGGTACCAATACTTTAAAGAACTTGTTTCATGCACATTATACCTCTTTGGTAGCCATGCTTAAAAAAAATCTTTACCTGTACATTGTGCCTCTATGGTAACTGTGCTTGAAAGATTCTTTACTTTTACTTTGTATCTCTATGGTAACCATACTATAAAGAATTCTTAACCTTCACATTGTACCTCTTATGTTTTTTGTTTGTTTTGCTAGAAAGGACTTACAGTAGTTGTACCTGCACATTATACCTCTATGGTTGAAGTGCTAACTAGGGTTGTGCAGGTGTACCTGGGAGTACATGTGTCTAGCTGACAGAGTTGTCAGTGATGTGGACGGGGTTAAGGATACCTGTATTTGTGGTATCCACCCATTAACGTCAGGTTCACCTGGGTGGTCAGAGGTGTTGCCCTAAAAACCACTATCGTTGCCGCACACCTGCACATTCTAAATGCAATTACAGAGACTTACAAAACACTCTTTTTTCAGGAGTTAAGGCTGGCCTGTTTCACAGAACTAGTCTCGCCCGTATTTCGGGGAAACACATCAGCCATTGACTGTCATCCTGTCAGGTTTGAGGTACAAGGCAAGTGTATTACACGGAAACTTAACCTACGACAAAGCTTTCTCGTGTTTATAGATCTCCAGATATTTCTGCTCTTTTTACCTTGTCAAGTTTTTTTCAATAAAACTACAACTTTCTCCCCATTTGAATGAAATAATCATGTGATTTGGTGTCTATATAAACCCGACACACACGTCAATGATCGTTTGTCCTTCTTTACAGATGGAGAGATAGTTTAGATTTTTTTATTAACACTTTAAATGTCATTTAAGTGAAATTGTGCACACCTTTCCTGTCGTGTAAGCGCTATTAATTCTGCACTTGTTCCTGTTCCTGTTAAATATCGACACAAGAGTATCCCCAAACTGTTGTTACATTTTATGGGAGCATCTTAAATATTCTGTTTAGGTACATACATACTTCCTGAAACAAACAACATCACAGCGGGTTAAATGGTCATCAAGAAAATAATTGTTCCCAGAGTCCAACATAGTTATACGTCAATCATCATTGCTTCTAACATGCTAAAATATGGCCGTAAAACATAAAGCATGGAGCTTCAAATAATTCTCACCCAATGGGAATTTTCTTAGACAGGTATGTCATTGAGTGCAGAATTTATGTTTTTACTCAAGGAATGAAATTTATACATGAGAATTTAATTGAACTGGTAAATGTCTTTAAAATTGACTCTCCACATTCCCATGGCCATTTCTTTATTATAATAGTTGTTTGATGTTCGTGTTGACCACTCACAGCCAGCCCTTTAATGCTGCCTGCTGGTTGTAGCCATGGATAAGGGCCATTTCCCCTCCAGACCCAATCAAGTCCTGAGCACTCCTTATGCTTCAGTACATGCCTTTTGCCCAATGACCAAATTTTCAACACTACATGTAATTTTCATATGCCACAATGGCCATCAATGATGTATCAACCCTATACAGAGGTCACACACAGCAGGAAGGCCCAACATCACACTTGCCCATTTTAACATCCATCTTAATCTTTGATTGGAAAAGACTATATATATAAGCAGACTTTTCGACCTAAGCTTTACTAAGGCTCCGAGAGTTGTTTCTACATGACTCTCCCCTGATGACCATTACTGGGAGAAGGGCTGCTCCCAACTCCAGTTATGAGGTTGTTACCACCAATAAACAGGCTACAGGAGCTTACAACAGGTGTTCATACAATGGTCTCCCATTTTCAGGCTAATGTTGCAACATAAGTTTGTTTTCTATCTTTATTTCTTACTGGTACTTATCCTGAACTTGCCTTTCAAGTGCAGTATGTTAGAAAATTTCATAATAAAGTTGAATAATAGAAGCTTTTTCCAAATTCTCTCTTTCAAATCATTTTTGACTGGGGACAGTGCCATCCCCGTCCTCTCTAGATCCGATACAAGGGACAAACAGTTACAGCAGTGCAGTGACAGAGGTCAAGCAAGGTCACCGATCAGTAAATACACAAAACAGGTAAATCTGTTTTCTCCTGACCTGGCAAACTAAATGAAAGTTGAGAATGTATTCTTCAATCAAAATGAGTTATTGTGAACATAAATCTATAGAGTAAACACTGTTTGTTAGAATGAGAATAATGTGCCCCCGTCAGTTCCTAATTAAATCCTTTCACCCTGGCACACTCAATCCATTCTCCATTCAAGGTAAAATGACAATTCAATCTGAAATTAGCTGCTCTTTGAAACTGGCGTTTTTATAAAGTGATCATGTATGCCTACAGATTAATGATATAAATAAAGTTGACGGATTTGTGCACTGATTGGTACAACAAAATGACATGTAAGGCACACATGTACAAATAACAGTTGTTTAATATCAACGTATTGGCTGTGGTCATTCTGGAGTAACTCAAGGTCAAACAGGGCTGCAGGATGTAAACTGTACTTCAGAGATGTGTGAAACTGCTTTAAAGCAAATTTGGAGATACATTTTTTTGAAAACAAACTACAGAAACCAAAGTATGTTTGTATTTTAAGTCCCAGGATATGCAAACTCTGTTGACCATTTCAATAAATGTACGGACAGGCCAATGACCGATTGTGATGTAGCTGTACGTCAGACATACCTGTTTGAGATCGAGGGTGATTGTGACGTAGTTATACTCCCATCCATTGGTAACGGAAGGGCTCTGCCACCAAGACCTGCGACCATTTATGGCATTGCTAATCGGATGACGTTGAGAAGCGATGTTGCTGGAGGCATCACAGATATCACAATGCTGATTGGACGATGGAAATATCTTCACATGTTGCACTAACTTACAAAACACTTTCGGGCCATTCTCTCCACACGTAGCATTCACAGAGATTTCCGAACTATTGGCTAAATTGAAAATGTCCGGAAAAAGAGCCCTTGTACCTGCATCTGTAAGACAAGAGTGACAGCGTTAGACGTACGTAACCAAATAGGTAATTCAACGCTGGATTTCATTGGACAGTACAAATAATGAATAAAACCTTTGGTATTCTGTCAGCTTTATTCTTCGTAATCCAATATATAAAACGGTTCCAGGATATTCTGACAGGATTATGTAAGAAAAACAATGCTATATGAAGACAAGATAACAATGAAATTAGGAGAAATTTAAAAACTTTGACCAGTGACTCAAGTAACATACATACATGTAGGTATCTTTACAACATGTTGTTCAATTGGACCTGTGACTCAAGCAACATCCTGTTGTTCCAAAGACCAGTTATATACATGAATCATTTATATCAATTATAGTATAATTACTGCCAACTCTCCCCATTTAGGAGGGGTCTCCGGTTTTGGATCTTTCAATTTAATATTTCCAACCAGTGAATTTGCTAACCTGTTTCTACATTCAAGATCTAATGATTTCATCTGCAAGAACAACTCAAAATATGTCACTTTAAAGGGTTATTTTGTCTCTAGGGAGTATATACACACATTTTATTTAGTTTTTTAATTTTGGGAACGCTGAATCTTCCCCAAAGGAAACTTCAAAAGTCTGGTAAGCATGTATTACATGTAGGTGTTACATGTAGTGGCACTTGTTCTGACGAAGTATCACAAACTTTCTTAATTCTCAAGAACATTCTTCAACTTAACATTTATGAATTTCAATATTCTTGTCAAAATGATCCATATTACTTTACTGCAATTTGTTTACTATTTCAATTTGAGAGCGCACTGCCAACATATATCAAGGTTTGAAGGTATCTTCCCCCCCCCCCCTTTTTTTTTAAACAGCTACATTGTGTATCTCTCCCTTTCTAAATAGTTCATAAAACCCCTTTATAACAACACATAGCTGGTCAAATGGTAGCAGTACAAAATGTACATCAAGTTTTCCTCCAGTAGACTTAATTTGAAACAATATACAAAATACTATATAAAATATTTTGACAAAGGTGCTAAATATTTTGATCACACAATAAATTTAAATCTCTTTTCTCAGGTGAGGATATACATGGAGTGCCCTGTAGTGGTGGCCATTGTATAAGTAACAAGCTTTTGATGAAATGCCAGCCTCAAAATCTGTTCACAAGTGGATATTACCCATTGAGTTGTTTGCTTGTGGTCAAGAGGTCAGTGTTGTGGTCAGTTATAAATCTTTATCCACATAGAAGTAATGGAACCCTATGAAGACCTTTACTCAGGTGGAAACTAGTGTAGCCCAGCTCTCGAGTCAGATACTTTTGTTCTCATTACTATGTGAGAATACATGCAAAGACTTACACTGTAACACTATCTTTCAATAATACAGGGTACAGTTTTAGTTTTTGTACAGAGCCTTGAGCTCTGTAATCTGGATCCTGGTAGTCCAGAAAATCATGAGTCTGGACTTTGATAATATGGAACCTCTTTTATATGGTCTATGATAATCCATTACTAAGTTAATCTGGTCTTTTACAATCCAGAACCTTTCAAATATGGATTTTGATAATCCAAATCCATAACCTCTTTAATATAGACTATGATAATCCAGAACCTCTCTAATATGGATTATGATAATCCATAACTCAGTTAATCTGGTCTTTTATAATCAAGAACCTTTCAAATATGGATTTTGATAATCCATAAACTCTTTAATCTGGTCTGTGATAATCCATAACCTCTTTAATGTGGACTATGCTAATCCATTACTCAGTTAATCTGGTCTTTTATAATACAGAACCTCTTTAATCTGGTCTGTGATAATCCAGAACCTTGATTTTCTGAACATACATAATCTAGAACTTCATTTATCGCAGAACTTTGTTAGTCTGGTCTTTGATAATCCAAACCTCACTAATCCAGACTATGATAATCCAAACCACACTAATCCAGACTATGCTAATCCAAACCTCACTAATCAAGACTATGATAATCCAAACCTCACTAATCAAGACTATGCTAAACTAAACCTCACTAATCCAGACTATGATAATCCAAATCTCACTAATCTAGACTATGATAATCCAAACCTCACTAATCAAGACTATGATAATCCAAATCTCACTAATCTAGACTATGATAATCCAAACCTCACTAATCCAGACTATGATAATCCAAACCTCACTAATCAAGACTATGATAATCCAAACCTCACTAATCAAGACTGTGATAATCCAAACCTCACTAATCCAGACTATGCTAAACTAAACCTCACTAATCAAGACTATGATAATCCAAATCTCACTAATCCAGACTATGATAATCCAAACCTCACTCATCCAGACTATGATAATCCAAACCTCAATCATCAAGACTATGATAATCCAAATCTCACTAATCCAGACTATGATAATCCAAACCTCACTCATCCATACTATGATAATCCAAACCTCACTCATCCTGACTATGATAATCCAAACCTCACTCATCCATACTATGATAATCCAAACCTCACTCATCCTGACTATGATAATCCAAACCTCACTCATCCAGACTATGATAATCCAAACCTCACTAAATCCAGACTATGATAATCCAAATCTCACTAATCCAGACTATGATAATCCAAACCTCACTTAAGAACATAACTGAACTCTGGTAATCAAGAACCTATTAAATTTGATTCAGATAATAATTAATCATTTTAAAATATTCAATAGATAATTTTATGTTTTAAGACTCTCTCTCTATGAAGTGGTTTTACTCATTCACCCCTAGTCACATCTAAACTGGACTTGTCAAGTGTTTGATTTGGTAAGGTTCAAATGTGACTTTAGGGGTGAATGGGTATAAAGTATCAGAATGGTATTGTGCAAGATCCTTCAACCAATATTTTACGCCCATGGAACAACTTCTCAAAAACAATATAAGGAGAACTATTTATTGATGAAAGTGGTTTTTAACTTTGTTCAAACTTCTCAGCTCTTTCTGACAGATTATTTGTAAGTTACATGGGCTAACCATTAGCCACATGTGATCAGTTGTAACCTTATACAGGTGTATTTCTCATCTCACTTCCACACACAATGTACATCACTCCAGCCGAGGGGAAATAGTGATTCAGGTAAAGCACTTACTACTTCAGCATCATGTACGAAATGTTGTGTCATGTGTTTGTGAAAAAAAAATCTGAAAAATTCTAATGATCTGTTTAGCATTAGGTGTTGGAGTAGAAATGACTAAAATAGATATTTGATGATTAAGTAAGTGGTTAATATAATTAGCGGATCCATCTGACAGTTTAATACATTCTTCACCTGGCCAAGGTAAGGGCTCGACCATGTGTTGGTTCTCCAGTCATTTTCAGGATTATTAATCTTTGGAAATGTTGGGATAAATATAGCGGGCGTTAAAGAAAAACAGATCAATGGTACCAACCGACTAAAACAGGCTGAATTTTAATACGTAAAACTTGCCGAGTCAGTGTGATCTGTAATGTGGTGTAACCACAGTGATCGGTGTGATGAGTCCGAGGACCCTCCCAGGAAACCACCACCAGCCTACGTCATTCACTCCTCCCAGGAAGCCCTATCAGGTAGTAGATACAATTAAATCTCACGATCATCCCTTAGCTATATCTGGTAGCCATCAGGGGGCATTTACTGTAAAAACATGGGGATCTGTTTTATCACACTCCCCAAACTCTAGTGCAAGTTTGTACTGGTGCATTCACTTTACACCGAAACCTTTCTTTCCAGATCAGACTGTTTAACAAATCTCTTTCAGATAGGATATTTCTGTTTTAAGATAGCCCAAGACAATCAACAATGGTCACTCACAATTGAGCTCATTTTACAGAGAGTTGATGTAGAAACACGTTGATTAACAAGAAGTCTCAATATAAGCAGCACTGTAGATTTTATTTATTTATCTGAGCTGGTGCAAAGTAAAGTTAAACTCCTCTCATATACTGCAAAGTGGAACATTTTAGCCCTCCTTCATTTTTGTCATCTTTACCCTTGAACAAGAAGGCCAATTCAACACGGGTGAGTCTACATTTAATACACATAGAGTTAAAATTAATGGTAAATGTATCCTAACAAAGTTAACATTGGACGTATTAGTTTTAAAAGGCCAGAGCTTTAGTGTATATTGCCCATTTGTAATGTAATCAAATATATTTTGTCAAGTATTACACAATTAAAAGACATTGTGTTGCATTATTATGTTGTCAAGTTCTATCTTTGTTTTTTATTTTAACATTCATTCTCTAGTTTTTACGGAAAAAAAAGTTTTAAAGGTAGATTTAAATTTACTTTCTGACCTAATTTCTCCACAAATGACAAAACGACATGTTGGTGATTTTACGTTATTCAGGAAACCTGATGGAGGGTATAAGAATTTATGGCAGCTGATTGGTTGATAACATTTCTAGTCAGTGGAGCACCTGACAGCTATTGACTCTAACTTCCACCCACCTGACATTCTAGGTGATTTCATCTGTAATTTATAACCCACCAGATTAACAAAATAAATAGACATCTACCACTTACAGTTTTTACAATCACTGGAAATTGATTTTCTCACAATTTTTATCATTTCCAAGTGCATTTTATCAAATGTACATTTTCAATAAAATACTATTTCTGGTGGTAAATTTTTAAGGCATTTTAGAATTTGAACAGGTGGCCATGATTTTGGTTTTACCTGACACAGGGACAACCATCCATCAACCGATCTAAGGAGAAAGTAGACTATCAAATAGAAACGTTTGTCAGCATTGATGGAAAAGCAGGAAATTGAAACTCTACTGATAGACTTGTCACATATTCATTACTTTTTTACTCTCCAAGATAAATTGAAAATTTATCCAGTTGACAAGTTTTTCTTTCATGTGCAGCTCCAAATCTGTTTTTATTTTCTTAATTTAGAATTCATTATAACCAGCTGGCAGTGTATGTCTTTGATAAAAACCCACACAAAATGTCTGATTTGTAGGGTCTATAGAATTGTCAGGAGGT